GACGAAAACTCTACTCAAACGTTCCAAGAATTGTCTGCAGCATTAAATGTTACTCCGATGGCTGTTTCCAAACGTCTACATGCAATGGGAAAAATTCAAAAGGAGGGAAAATGGGTACCACACGAATTAACCGCAAATGCCATTGCGAATCGCTTAAACATCTCTATTTCTCTGCTCGCCAGGCAGAAAAAGAAGAGTTTTTTGTGGCGCATAGTGACTGGCGATGAAAAATGGATATACTTCGATAATCCTAAACGAAGAAAATCGTGGGTAGACTCTGGTCAACCATCGATATCCACACCAAAGAGAAATATTCATGGCCACAAAGCAATGCTTTGCATTTGGTGGGATATGCACGGCGTCGTTTATTATGAGCTACTCAGACCGAACGAAAGTATCACGGGGGATCGATATCAATCACAATTAAACCGTCTGAATGAAGCATTGTTGGAAAAAAGGCCAGCAGTAGCCAGCAATCGACGTAAAGTCATGCTTTTGCACGACAACGCTCGACCACACGTTGCCAAAGCCGTCAAAGAAACACTGATGCAGCTCGAGTGGGAAGTTCTCCCGCACCCAGCGTATTCACCAAACCTAGTTCCTTCGGACTATTACTTGTTCCGGTCGATGCAGCACGGCTTGGTGGATACACACTTCAGAAATTACGAGGATGTGCGAAAATGGTTCGACGAATGGATCAAAAGACCAATCGTTCTATCGTCGCGAAATCTACGCGTTTCCCGAAAGATGGGAAAAATGTATAGCTAGCGAGGGAAAATACTTCGATTAATGTATTTTTTGCTTTTGATGTCGAAATAAATGAGTTTTTTAAACAAAAAAAACCGCAGGAACTAAGTTTACCATCTAATATACTAAATCTACCTCTAGATCTTTGTTTATTTTTAAAATCGTATTTAAGCAACCGCTATTTTATGGTTAAACACGGGGATAATTCTTCTGAACTAAAGATAATCCAAGCTGGAGTCCCACAGGGTAGCGTTTTGGGCCCAATATTATACACGGCTGACTTTCCAACCTCTAAGAGAGTTATAACAGGTACTTTCGCGGACGACACAGCAATTCTAGCAATTCATGAAAATCCAGTTATGGTACCAAGAATGCTACAAGAAAACATGAACAAAATCGAAGGCTGGATGCATAAGTGACATATCAAGGCCAACGAAGCTAAATCCATGCATGTAACGTTCACTACAAGGAGAGAAACATGTCCACCTGTGATCCTAAATGGCACTATATTACCTCAATAGGATTATGTTAAATACCTGGGGTTACATTTTGACAGGTGATTAACCTGGAAGAAACGTATTTTTAATAAAACAATTGGGTCTTCTATTTAACAAGATGTACTGGCTAATCGGACGTAGGTCCCAGTTGTCACTGGACAATAAATTACTTTTATATAAAAGTATAATTAAACCGATCTGGCATACAGATGTGGGGCACTACCACTAAATTAAATAGGGAAACATAATACAACGTTTTCAGTCAAAGACCTTACGAAGCATGGTTAATGCGCCATGATTCGTGACAAATGAATCATTGCATAAGGATCTCGGATTACCGACAGTTGAGGAGGAAATCAGAAGAGTGATAGAGAGGCACAGGTTGAGACTGCAGGATCACCCGAACAAACTAATAGCAACATTGATGAACAAACCGGACTTCCGCGTAGATTAAAACGAAAAATACCGCAAGACTTAGTCTAGTGATAATCTAAATTTGGGGCAAGCCACTGGGTTTGCACCGCGCAAGGTCATTATCTGTGTCACAAAATTACTGAATGTCCTTGAGTGTGACAGATTGTAATAAATGCAGGAGTTAAAAAAAAATATACCCAACTGTACCGAACTGCAGGGATTATTATAAAGTTCCTCAACAACTTGAAATGTACGACCTGTTACAATGTGATTTCCTTTTCGTGATGTTGCTATATTTTCTACATAGACAATATCTTTTTCTATGCGACAACAATTATCAGCAGACTTAAGTAATAAAATAAAATGGGGAAATTCAATCTTCGAAAATTGTGGATTAAAACAACCAGATATTCTTTTTCGTGTGGATTCTTTACTTTTATTTTTTTAATATTTCTGTCGTCTACATTAATATCACAAAAACTCATTTCTGCATAGCGATTGTTAATTTGATGAATATTATGTGATACAAATTCCGTTCCGTAAATTATAATGAAACATTCAATAAAATGTTTTAATAATTTATCCGCATATTCTACATATTCTATTGTACTTTTCTAACATAAAATGCGAGTAGCAACATGCAATGTAAGGAAGTTGGAAAATATATCAGAATTTAATTCTTTAATAACAAGACCTGTATACAACAAAAATTGTCTCAATTCGGTTGCTTTCCACTGTGCAAATTCTTGTATTTCTCGTGGTCTTCTTACAAATTCTTGCGGAATAAAGTATCTAATATCGAGGAGGAGTTTGGAAACACTTTTAATTTTTTGCGAAGTTAGACATCTCACTTTAAGAGGTCCACTTATCCATAATTTTATCAATTTTTTAACAACACCAATGCATATTAAATGCATATAATCTAATGGAATTTTAGATACAATGCCAAAATCTGGTATGTTTAATAAAATCGATTGACTGAGATGATGTTCTTCTTGAGTTTGATTATAAAAACTGGCGTCTGTTCGGTTTTGAAAATCAAAATGGGGAAAACAAATTCTATTAGCAATAAATGCACCTTCAATAGTACATTTGGGACAACTGAAATAGCCTGTATATCTTTTAGTAAGAGTAATAAAAGATTTAGCTGGAACATCGCATATGATGGAATGTATTGTTATAGAAAATGTTGTTCCATTGTAATTTATATCTGTATTTATCAAGACAGTAATATCTCTTACAAACTGTTGTAGGAATTTATTGGCATCAGCTGGTTTCGTTTTACCAAAATAACAACCAATAAGAAATACATTCACGATTCGATCTAAAATAGGCTATAACTGATTTGAGTTTGATTTGAATATTGGCACACCATCGATACCGATTTGAATCTGAATAGGAGATAAAGCAGTAGTATTGTTTCTACATAAAAATTTAAGAATATTATTATCAATATCAAAATTGCAATATTGCCCAGGAGACATATTAGTACAGATGATCGTGGTGTACATAATAATGTCTTTGCACATAGTGGCAAGTTGGAAAATATTGGGTGTTTTTGTTAAACCCGACAATAAATGAGATAGAGCTACATGGGAAATATTATGTGTAATAGACCACTGCACTAAAAATGCTTTGAAAGAATAATTCTCTTCTTTTACGTTATTATCTCCTCTTACAACAGTTTGGTGTGAAGATGTATTATTTAAAGGCACATGAAATTCTGAGATACTCGTTTGATTGGAAAAGGATAAATTAATTTTCTCTTTTATAGTTCCAGGAACAGTGTTATTGAGATCCATATGTACAATTTCCCCTTGATCATTATCCGAAACCGAATTACTTGAAATTGTATCCAAATTAGCTCTAGATTCTTCATGAAAGTCTAACGAAACCTAAGAAATAACTCATCACTTTCTTCTTGAATTAATTTGTGACGATATCTCGTTGAAAAAGTGGACAACAATTTACGTTTTGGCATGATTAATTATGTATATTTGTTACGTTATATGTATTTTAATACGTATTCAGTTTAATACTGTAATTATGTGCAACATGCGAATAAACATTATTGTTTAAAAAATACAAATTATACTTCCCTTTTTGCTTTTCCTTTTTTCCTTTTTTTCTAGACAATTGTCCAATAATGGTCACCGCAAAATTAAGAATTCTCGTCACTAAGAATAAGAACGTGTATGTACCACAGTTGACAGCTGAGGACGAAATAATCGGAGGTTGCTGAAGAAATAAATGACAACGAAATGCCAAGATACTCACTTGTTTTATCCGTCATTTCCGATTATTCCGTTTCAACAATTAACTGTGTTGCACACGCGTTTCAGCGATTGAAAACGGGATTTATAATAAGTTATTCAGTAATAAATATTGAACAATTTATTAAACAACGAAAGTTGTCAAACTTTATATAATATATATACACTACAATCTTAATGAATCGACATTTTTTCTACAGGATCACTGACATAACTATTTATATTTATAATTGTGGACAAAGATATCTAATAGAAGATTCATCGTAGCAGATTTCTCAGGTGGTATCCAAGTAATACCAAAAAGTTGACTACAAAATGAGGACTTATGCAAGTATCCTTTACACTACAAAACAGACAAACGAATTCGAAAGGCAATTGAAAGAGAAGAAATACCTTGTGTTGATTGGCCTTCTTGTAAAATTAACCGAATTTTTGGCGAATATTGTAAGTATTATAAATATTGAAAGAAGACTTTACCTTTATACTTTGTTTCCTAAACACTAATAATAGTATTTACAATATTTTTAGCATCCATACAGAAGGCTGGTGAGAAAGTACAATTGGCAATATACAACCCTTATAGAAATATCATACTAAGAATCATTGATAATTACTTATTTTCAGTATTAAAAATACTGGATAATAAGTAATTATCAATGATTCTTAGTATGATATTTCTATAAGGGAAATCAAATACCGAGAAAGAATCTAAATATTATAGGAAATATCGGGCAAAGAAAGTTGTCTCCTCATCCGATAGTGAAGAACAAGGTACAAGTGTTGTATTACCAGTTACCCCACATACTCCTGTAAAACGTAAGTTTTATTACATTTACTGTATATAAAAAATTTATATATTACATTGTATATATTTTTTACATTTTCTACTGAAAGGTCAACGACTATGTAACGGAAATAAATACGAAAATATTTTTGATTCTACAAGAAGAAACTATGGATTACAAGATATTAACAACTTATGCTCTCAGTCAATTTTACAAGGCATGATACTTATATCAATTCTATATAATTATATAATTATATAATTATAACTCAAAGTAGTATTTCATATCTGTCATATATTTTATGCAGTCATATATTAAATAGAGTAGAATTGGTGTAGAAATGAAAATTTCGAAAAATTGTATACTCCTACAAGTGTGGGAAATGCAAATATTTCTCTCTCTCTCTCTCTCTCTCTCTCTCTCTCTCTCTCTCATAGTTACTTAATTTATTGAAATTCTTATTTCTACTCTAATTTTATTATCTCTTACCTATTGTATAACATTGTATTCATTTTAAATCACATATGTACAGATGCGCCGAACAATCCTAGTACTTCTCTTGTAGAAATATCATACTAAGAATCATTGATAATTACTTATTTTTAGTATTAAAAATACTGGATAATAAGTAATTATCAATGATTCTTAGTATGATATTTCTATAAGGGTTCATAAGGAAAAAACTGAAGAAAGTGATGAAGATATTAACCAATATAGAATTGAATGCACAACAGAAAAAAATTCTGAAAATCTGCTACACCAAAACCCAGCAAACACAATGTTACATGTAACGTACATGTTAGTTGTAATTTCCTACTCAACAATGTAACTGTTATACCCTTATAGAAATATCATACTAAGAATCATTGATAATTACTTATTCTCAGTATTAAAAATACTGGATAATAAGTAATTATCAATGATTCTTAGTATGATATTTCTATAAGGGTATAACATGCGTGTTATGTAACAGTTATATTGTTGAGTAGGAAATTACAACTAATATGTACATTACATGTAACATTGTGTTTGCTGGGAATGCTCCTAACAGGGATATGCTAAACCAAAGTATTCCTAAAAGAGATATAATTCTCTTATAGAAATATCATACTAAGAATCATTGATAATTACTTATTTTCAGTATTAAAAATACTTAGTATGATATTTCTATAAGGGTTGAACGAATAAACCGTACACAATCAACAAATCACTAAAAAGAAAATGATATTGATCCACTACATTATCAATTTTTACATCCTGTATATGGTAAGATCGCAAAATTCTGTCGTATGCAGCACATGATTTAATTGGTCTATTATTGTATAATACTATTTACATTTGCAGTGGATCATTTAAAAAGATTAATAAGAGACATAGCAACAATAAAATATGATATGAGGCAAATTCTTACCTTGTTAGATATTTTACTTAAAAAAGCAAATGAGAAAGCAGAAACCAAAAAACCATTTTCTTTTGAAGCTGCTTTAAACCTATTTTCATTGCAAAGTATACTTCAATTAACAGAACTTGAGACTATTTTAAAAGATCGTAATTCCTCAAATAATGCTGAAATAGTAAGTTAATGCATATAAATTTGTAAGTAAGATATATAAATAAATTTCAAGTAAAATATATTTCAAGTAAAATTATATACTTTTTGAAAAAAATATGATATAAATACGAGTCAGCATAATGTATGATAGATTACCAATTGCAACTTGTGAATATAGTTAATTTTAATTATCGTTTTCTTTTTTCTCCGTTAGTTTCTTGCATAATAGTTTTATCATCAATTTACTCAATTTTAGCAATATATCATAATGTCACAATTGTTTTGTTGCAGTTGCAACAATATTATATATTTTGTTCAATTCACGTTGTGTATTGTATAAAGTACCATACAGTAACTGTCTATTAATGAAGTATATAATAATAATTGTTTACCTTACAGCGAGCGTATATAAAATCCATTGGAGGTACAAATGTCGGTGATGCTGTCAAGAGAATATTGTACAGAACATGCTCTAATAAATTAGCAGAGAGATATAATTGGGAAGATAGATGAGGGAAAGAACCATTATGCAATCTGGAAATTACAAAAGTGATATTCAGTAAGTCTTACAATTTGTAATTTATAAGTAGGAGTGACCAGGGACAGTTGGCTGCAGATATAAGTTGGAAAAACCAATTACTTTTACTATTTCTTAATGAATTACAGAATCAACCAAGCACAGATTTCAAAATCATATTTGATATATTTGAAAACCTCTCTTGCTCAATTCTGTAATATAAAAAATAATCAATTTAGTCAAATTACTTTCAGTTATTGTAGTAGTACCCAACTGGTCTTGATCTACATTAGTTAATAAAATTAATATATTATATATATATGTGTATATATATATATATATTTATTTATATATTTATTTATAAAAGTTAAAATAAAGAAAATATTTGTAGAATCCATACTTGACAACATCTCAGATTCCGATCGGAACAAAATACAGCGGAGAATAATGGAATGGTTTTGCCACTCAAAAGCGAGGAAGCAGAATGAGGAGAAGCGGAACAATATTTTGCATTTTGAGTAATCTGTGCACAGCAGAAATGGAAAAATATATATAACATTAAAGGGTATAAAATATAATCTATTATAATTATTGACAAGAGATCTGTTCTTTCGCTCTACACTGTTGCACTGGTGCAATAAGTTAGAGTGAGACAAATATATATATTGTATTTGTCTTACTTTAACTTATTGCACCAGTGTAGCAGTACATAGAGAAAGAACAGACTTAAGATATTAACTATTTACCTCTTATATGATGTACTGTTGATATACAGAATTTCAAGTTACAAATGTGCTATTGGCTTCTTGTTTCTAAATTAGGTGGCTTCTCGACACATTATTTTAATGAAAATTTTGTTTTTATCTCTTTTTCTTATTCTTCTTCTTGATGTTATGGAACTGGGGTTTTCTCACACTTTGACAACTTGCGCTTTAAAATAATACGTCAAAAAAGCAAAGATACGTTCGGAAAGCTTGCTATTTAGTGCTACCGTATCAGTGGTTACGTTCAGAAAGCACAGCGATCAGTGAGCGATCAGTGATTATTGGTCTTTACTATTAGATCCCTGACTTTAGACCAATTGCGTTAACGAATTACTCAACCGCTGTGCTACCGTTATATTTTCAGAGCAGCGATCATAGCTGCGATCATGTATCTTTTCTCCTAGGAGCGAACAAGTGAAAAGTGAAAAATTTAACGTGAACTCGCCTAGACAATATAAAATATTAAAAGATATCTAAGCCTGCGGCACACGATGTTTGTTGTCGTGCTCGATTGCTTGCTGGATGGAAATACTCTGTGATTGGTCCATTTTCAGAAATGCATCAATCAGAATAGTATTTCCATGCAGCAAGCAATCCAGCACGAAACAAGCATCGTGTGCCGCTGGCTTTATAGATGCTGAAAAGACTTCATAAGAGTTAAGATGTCGTTTATACGATGTCGTATATCTTTACGATATCTTTTTTTTAATTTATGTTTAGGAGCTAATCATCCCTTATAGAAATATCATACTAAGAATCATTGATAATTACTTATTATCCAGTATTTTTAACACTAAAAATAAGTAATTATCAATGATTCTTAGTATGATATTTCTATAAGAGTAGGGCGACTTTTATAAAGCTCTTGAAATATATATAATATATATATATATATATATATATATATATATATATAT